TGCCACTGGTACATGTGTCCTGTCAGGACCCAGGCCTGCCTTCTGTGGTCAGGACCCATGCAAAAGGTCCACACTCCCACACTTGCTCCATTCGGATTTTTACAAGTTACAAGCGAGCCTCCTCTTACTTTACCTCTTCTCTGTCCTTGCACTTAGTAGGCACTCCACACTATCTGTACAGTGGAGTCTTGTCTCTCTTCCCTGAGCTGCCCTGCCCTCAAGTGGTCATCATTTTGCCCTCTCCTTTCCTGCCAGTCAGAATTCTAGGTCACTTCCATGCCTACCAGCCCTGCCTACCTTGGAGAAATGCCAAGAGGGTCTTTACATAAGTCTTTAGTGTCTGGAAAAACCCTCTCGACCCCACCTCCATTCACATGGAAGCCCAGGTGAGATGCCAGCAGAACCAATTTAGGGTGGGAAAGGAAACAACATTTACCTCTATCTTGCACCATCAATAGACCCCACCCACCCTGGGGCCTCAGGGCGCAAAGGAAGAGGCCCAGGAGGTGGGCCGAACAGCTGGGATTGGCAGGAAAAAAGAAAGATGCAGGGGCTTCAATGGAAGGGAAGCGCTGAGAAAAACAAAAAGACCCTGGCCTGGGTTGGTGGGGGCAGCCCTGGAAGCAGGGATCAAGGCAAGGGAGGGCTCTGGCCAGGCCCTGCCAGCTCTGACCACGCACCAGAGTGACTCCATGGCCCCTCAACTTGTAGCCCTAGGCAGACTGTACCTTTTGTGCAGAAGCTCCTGCTTCCCAGTCAGCATGCCTGAGCCCAGGAGCAGCATCTAACAAGACCACTGCAGCCGCAGCCACAGCCACAAAGTGCAGACATAAATTTTGGAGGACAGAAGAAAGAGGGTTCCTACTGTGATCCCGTTTGGGCAGAACCAGCAGTGAGTGCAAGTGTGCATTTCCATGGAAAATCCCAGAAGGCAAAACTGAAGAAAGCCAACTTCAGGCTCAGGGGATGTTTCTTTTTGCCTCTTAAAGGTGATCCCTTCAGCACTAGGTCCCAAATTGGTCTGAAACTTGCTGCCAAATGTCTTCTATAAGGATGTGAGAGGTATGGTTTCCAAATACGAGAAATCTCCCTTTTTAGAGAGAGGGTACTGATCATTTTTTTCCTCCTTCATGTTCTGGGAAATTTTCATTTATACTTTTATCCTGAGCATCTTAGTAGTACCTGGGAGACATTCCAAGGTGCTAGGGTGGGGGGCATCAGATTGTATACCCAAGTCCTCCTCTAAAGGGAAGACAGGGAGTGAAGGTACAGCCTTCATACTAGAGGGAAGAGAGGAGACCAAGACTAGCTTGTGGAGGAGGGGAGGAGGCAGGGGGAATGACCGCCCCTCCATCCCTTCCCCATAGCAGAGGCTCAAGCCATGCTGGTTTATACTAGGGTCAGGAGCCCCACACTTGGTCTCAGCTCTGCTACTGAGTAGCTGTGTAACCTCAGTCAAGTTGTCTCTTCTCTCTGGGCTTCTTTTTCCAGCCTATAAAATAAATTTTAATACTCCAGTGTTTCCAGTATTCAGTCCAATAAGTGGCCTGGCAGTGCTGGTAAACTAACAATTTTTAAAAGCCATCCCCGGATTGGCACTACCAGGCACCAGGCACCATGCTAGGAACTTTACCTCTCATTCAACTCCCAAGCTGACTCTCTACATTGGGTATTACTGACCTACTTTACAACCTAAGAAAATTGAGGTTCGAGGAGCTTAATTAAGTTCCCCAGAGTCCCATCTCTATTGCCAAGTTCCACTCTGACACATGTTCTACCCTGGGGAGGCCCGTGTTCCTTGCTCTGGGTTCCAGAGTTCTGGAACTAAGTCTGAGGAAGTCATCCCAGCCCATGGAGCCCAGAGTCCTGACCAAAATAGTCCCGAGGCTGCCTTGGCCTGGGCAACTGGGATGGGGCAAGATCCAGGGAAGGGAAACTGGGAAAAACCCTTTTTTTTTTTGGAAAGAAATAATTATTTCACATAGTTCTATCTATAGGAAAGGTAAAGACATTGCACCTGCTTGGGAGGAGGGTGTAGGGGTTGTACTGCCCCAGCGGTAGTGACAGGAAACCGCCAAGTCCCAGCTCTTAGTGGGAAGGCTAAGGGTTAAGATGTAGGGAGGAGAGGACAGCTGTGGAGCAGGGAAGGCTTCTGGAGATGTCCCGCCCCTGTCCCTTCCCTCCCCTCACATCTCAAACCCCTTCTCTGAAACACCCACTGCTCCCATCTATCAGAATCTCCTGTCCCAACACTGTGAGGTCCAGAGAGCAGACCCCAGCCTTTATCACGTAGGTACCCCAATACCCAGCCTGGGACCTACCCAAACAGAGTAGGGGCACAGCAAATACTGGGGAATTACTGGATAAAAGAACACCCCCCCCCCAAGTTGTCCTGCTTCCCTCCCCTCGGGAAGAGGTGTGTTTGGAGTAGGGGCCCAGCAGGATACACACATTCCAGGCAAGAAGGGACCTACCTGCCGACTGCCAGAAAGGAGGCTTCTGGCCAAAGGCAGAGAAAGGGGGGTGGGGGTGTCTAGGTAGAAGGAACTTTGCAAGTTGAGCCCAGCCTCAGCTATTCTTCAGCTCTGGTGTCAGGCCTTTCCCTTCCCAGGGCTCAGGGGCTTCCCAACTCCAGAACTCCTGAGAACCCTGCCCAGGCCTGGGAGAACAGAAAACTCCCCGCCAGGGGCCCAGGGTTAGGCTGCTAGAACAGAAGGTTCCAGTGGTCTCCCCACCTTAGCACCAAGGATACGATGAGTGTCTAAGGAACCAGGAGTACAGATTGGGAGACTGGGGAGGGGGCACTGATAGCACCACCTCCTCCCCATGCCATCTTGCATTGACTAGAGTGGAAATCACACTACATAGGGATCTCCCCTGTGCACTGTCCTTAGAGCAACTCAGATCTAAAGGCACCGCGGGAGCCAGCAAGCCATCTAGGTGCCCACCACAAAGTCCTTGTGCCCTCCCTGCAGCCACCAGGTGACAAATAACCTCAGAACCCCAAGGGGCAAAAAAAGTTTCTCAAGTTAAAAAAAAAAAAAGGCTTTAGACTTCCCCACAGCGGTTTTCCGCGGGGGCGAGCAGAGGTTGTCTGAGGCCGGTGGCTCCCCTTCAGACAGCTCCTCTCAGTTCGGGTTGTGTTGGAGGAGCAGAGGAAGGGGGCTCCAAATGCCTGTGACCCAAGGCACGGAGGCCAAGGGGCCGATCTGCCCTGGTTCTCTCCGGAAAGTGAGCTTGGGGTCCGGAAAGCTGGGCGGTGAGACCGCTCAGACCCTCCCACAGCCACCGACGACCGTACAGATCATTCCGCTGCTCTTCCTTCGGGGACACAGAAGGGGGCCCTTGATTTAACCACCGCAATTGCCCCTCAAATTGCGCTCCCCGAGGCCCTCAACACCTAACATTTGGGTCTGGGACAAATCCAGGCGAGTGCTCTGAGGCAGGGTGAAGATGCTGAAGTTCAGATAAAATCCCGCATTGGCCAAACGCTCCTGGGCTTTCTCCGGAACTGTAGCTTCAGTTTGGGGTTTGCGCCTCTGGGTCCCCCGCCCCTCTCCCCAGCTCAGGGCGCCACGGTCTGCCAGAGGGGAGACCCAGAAGTGCTGGGGTGCTTCTCATGCGATGATCTCCAGATGCCTTCAATCCCAGGTGCCGAGTAAGCGAGGAAATATCCAGGCGGGGTTGGCACGAGAGGTCGGGGGTGCAAAAGGAGGAGCGGGGCGATCTCTTAGCTCAGGGCCCCATACCCTTTTCCTCCCAGCCTATAACGTCGGGATGGGATGTGGGTGTGTTCACGAGGTCGCCCCAGTTGGGGGAAGAGAGGTAATCCACCGCCGTCAGGGCTCTGCCTCAGAATCCGCATCCCGCGAAATTACACGATCCTTTACTCAGGTGGCCACCGAGACCCCAGGTCTCTCTCAGGGCACCCTGCATTCTAGAGCCAAGGGCTCTGCTCTGGCGCAGCCCAAGGAAGTTTGTTTGGCGTTGAAGCGGAGCGCGATGCTGGAGCGCCGCCGGGGTGGCCGCGGGTCAGAGAGGTGTTGGGGGAAGGAAAGGGGTTGTTCACGGGGGACCTAAGAGTCCTCAGTCTGGGAGGCATGGTCCTGCTTGGTCACTCTAGGACCCTCTTCCCTGGTGGGCTTCCCCCCACCCCACTACGTGGTGGGGTGGTAGCTTCCCCAAAGCGGGTGAATAGAGGTATCCGCCAGATCGGTCCCCCACCCTGTGGCTCAGGCGCACAAAAATCACAGAGGCCATTTCCAGACGCTCTCAAGTCCCCAAGAAGTTTTCCGCTCTGTCTCTGAGCTCAATGAGGGATGGGGGAAAGAGGGTTGATTGGTCTCAGAACTTCCGAGGTGCGACCTAAGCAAGACAAGTTCCCCTTCACCCAGGGCGATGCGGCGTGTGGGACTGTAGTACCCCCCGCCCCAGTCCCTCTGCCTCTGGCCTATCCTGGAGAGTCCCGAGACTGGAAATGGGGGAGCCCACTTCACTACTTCCCTTCCCAGCTCAGGAAAGTCCGGGCCGGGAAGTATTCTTTGTCTGACTCGGGGAGGGGGGGTCGCGCCCCCTAACACCCCATTCCCAGCGGCGAGGCCCGGAGGGGGCGGAGCCCAGAATCCTGGGGGAGGGGCGGGCCTCAGTGGCCTCTCCAGCCACCCACCCCTGGCCGGCCCCCGCTGCCCGCCACCGCAATCCCCCCCCCCCGCCACCGCGCAGTAGCCCCCACCTGTTCCCAAGGCAGCTCCGGCCCGCTGGGGCCCGAGCCGGGGGCGGGGTCTCGCGGCTCCCCGGGTCAGTGCACTACGGCCGGCCCCGGCTTGAACAAAGTGCGCCGGCCAGGGCCCGACTCCTCCCGGCGCCCGGCGCGTCTCCGGCGGGCAGTTTGCAAACACAAAGTGAGCCAGTGAGCAGGCGAGAGAGTGCGCGAGCTAGGGAGTTGGTCTGGTCACCGGCCCAGCCCCCACCCGCTTCCCCGGGCCGGACCCGCCACCTACCTGTCCGGCCCGGCCGCTCCGTGCGGGCTCCGGCCCGTCAGCCCGCGCAGGGCATGGGGCTCGCTCGGGTCGCAGCCCGGGCCCGCCGCCGCCCGCCGGGGCTGCTCCTCCGCGCCGCCCCGCGCCGCGCAGCTCTCGGGCGTCCTCCCTGCGCGCCGCGCCGACCGCCGCGCGCCTTAGCCCCGCCGGGGCATCGCACTTTGTGGGGAGCTCGGCTCGCTCCGGCTCTGCTCCTCCTTCTCGGTCCTCCCGCGACGTTCGTTAGATCGCTCCGGCTCCCGGGCTCCGGGACCCCGGCGTCCCCGCCCCCGGCCCAGCCCTGGTTCCGGCCCGGGCTCCTCCCCGCCGCGCCGCCGCCGCCTGCGCCGCGCCCTCCTCGCGGGCTGGGGGCTCTGTCCCGGCCGCCGGCCGCACTGTCCGGTCCGCAGGGGTGGCCGGCTCCGGACTCCGAGGGGCTGCGACTGAGCCCGGGCTGCGAGTGGCTGCGAGCGGGCGGCGCGCGGGCGGGGCGGGAGGGGACGGGGGACGGGAGGGGCGGAGGGGAACGAGGGAGCGCGCGGAGCGCCCGGGAGGAGGGAACGAGCGAGCGAGAGGCGGAGGAAGGAGCGACCAACTTCTAGTGCTACCATAATTCGCCTAAAGCAGGTGCAGCAACTTTCACCCCGCGAGGCAGCCTGCCGCGAGCGAGAGAGACCACGTGGACCAAACTTTAGGGGAGGAGAAATGGGGACGTGGAGAGAGGACTTGGGGCTACAGATTTAAAAAGGCGATAGGCAGAGAGACCCCAGAGATTCGCCCTGGCCTCGGACCAATCCCACGGTGCGCTTTGTAAACTCCGGCCTTTCCCTGGAGTCTGGAGGTGCGGCCAAGTCCTGCTCCCACACGGTTCACTGGTTCCCCGCGGGCTGCGCCTGGCGCGGGGAGTGGCCGGGGCCCCCAGTCCAGAGCCCGCGTCCGGTCCCCGCCTGCCTTGCCTCCCTCCGACTCTCCAGTGCGTGGGGGCTGGGGTGGGCTTTTGAACCAGAGTGGGGGTGGGGAGGCTCCTTCTGGGTGTTGTGAACAGTCACCCCCCACCCCGCCGCTCCGCCGCGCGCTGCCTCCCTCGCGGAAGGGGAATTTCCCGTAAAGTGCTCTGAGAACCAGTGAAGAAGGCGCCCAAGACTGGATCCACGAGGGCACAGCGAAGAGCAAAGTCGAGGCAATTATCTGGACAAATTAGATTGTAAACAAAACTCAGCGTCTCTGCCTACCGTTTCTGCCCCGATTGGAGGGATTGTACTGGTGGCCGTGGTGCGTGTTTGGGTGGGGAGGGGGACATCCGGGCGAGGAAAGGCCCCCTATCCAAGGGGGGAGGGCTCCGGTGGGTGGAAGACGCCCCATTCAGAGATCCGTGGGGATCCGAATAAATCTTCACACCTCCTTCTCCACATGTCTGTATTGAGGGAGTGGAGAGGAGAAGAAGGCCTCAGGGATCTTCAACGAGTGCCCTCCACCCGCAACCCCCCCCCCCCCCCCAGATCCCCAAGACTAAGGGAGGATCTTGCTGTAGAATGAGGGCAGGAAAGCAATAATGGCTCCCGAAGGCCTCCTGGCCCCAAGTCACCTGAGGCAGGTGGACCAGGAGCAGAAACATGATGGTCTGTGGAGGGTGGGCTGTGGCAAGAATGAACGCCTAGTTGCTGAGGAGAAAGGCTCCTGGAGAAGCCTCTTCCAATAGAGCTTGAGAGAAAGGGGTCTCAGAGAGGAAGCTGTCCTTTTTCTGTGCAGGGACACTGTACAAGCCCTATTGGGCAGGGGTGACAGGCATACGTAGGTCCTTCCAGAGCCTTTCTGAAAGGTAGTTGTGAAGTTGGGGGAGAACACTCTGTGCCATTTATTTAACTTATTTATTTATTGTGGTGCTGGGGATTGAACACGGGGCCTCAGGAATGCTAAACACATAATGTACCACTGAACTCCATCCCCAGCCCAGTGCCATTTATTTGGTCATCAGAGTGACCTTTCCAGTGCAACAATAAAGCTAGCATTAAGGCATCAAATGACAGCTAATGTTTGAGTCATGCCACACGATGGGCACATTGATTGAATGAATCTTTACAGTGGCCCTATGAGCAGATAGTTCTGTTTTGTTTTTTAAAGGAGGAAACTGAGGCACAAAGAGACCTTGTCACCCAGGCTGAAGAGATTCAACAGGATTTTAACCAGATCCAGTTGGCAAGGACAGTGAAGATGCCCCTGGGAACCTTTAAGTAGGGTTCCCCGCCCAGGAGAGTGTTTGGGGAAGAGCAAAGCCCTTGTAGCGCCATCCAGTTTATCTTCTGTGGTGAGCCAGCTCTGTGGATGTCATGCTGTGCAAACAACCCTGGACCCAGCCTGTAGTGGCAGGTCCTGTGTCAGCACAGCTGAGTCCCCTTCCCATCCCTTAAATAACAAAGGCTAAGGGTGAAGTGAGAATTAGGGACTTTGGATACAAAAGAGAGGATTTCTATAGGGAGGATGGAGTGACTTCCAGTGGGCTATTCTCATACCCCAGAGCCCTCGTCCCACCACATGGTCCCACCACATGCCTGCATCGGCCTTCCACACCACTCACGTGGGGTCACTGGGAAATGCTTTGGCTCTCATTTCAGTTTAGACCTCCAGGCCAGCTCAGTTCTCAGCACCCTGGGAGTCTCACTGGAGGGCCCAAGGGAGTCAGGAGGCCCTGTCTTGTCCTCACCTACTGGGCATTTTAGGGAGAGTGGAAGCCTCTCCAAAGGCGGGCACAGAACAGATGCCTCCAAATCTTAGAATCCTGTTGGGAGCCTTCTTCCTGGTGCAGGGGCTTCATGAGTTTTGAAAGTAATCCTCTGCTCCTGGTGGAGAGCGATAGGACCAGGCAAGAGAGACAACCAACTGTCCCTTCATAGGATTCAGGACAGGTGCGTATGCTCAGGGGGTAGCAGGAACCAGGACTCAGAGCCTGATCCTACTAGGGAGGCCAGGTTGGGAACACAGGGGCCAGAGCCAGGAAGTGGTGGGTTGATCTTCAGCCTCTGTTCACTTACTAGTGTATGACCTGGGTAAGTGACATGATGTCTGAGCCTCAGTTCTTTCACCTATCAAATTGGGAGAATACCTCCTCAGGAAGCTGGGAAGATAGCATGAAAAGGCATGGGTGGAGCTTCAAGCTTGGTAACCTGTTCCTCAAGGGTTTTCCATAAATGTTTACTTTTCCTTTTGTGAGCCCATTTCCTCACTTAAAAATGAAGAACACTGACTTCAGAAAGTTGTGAATCATGAGTTGCCACTTACTAAGTGCCTGCCGTGTGCCAGGCACTTGATGAACAGACTGTTTAGCTTCAAAACCCCAACTAGGGTGGCTCTCTTCCCCATTTTACAGCTGAAACTCAGAGAGGTCAGGAAACTTGCCTCAGGTCACACAGCTAGAAGGTAATTCATCAAGGACTGGCTCCTGGGTCAGCTGCCTCCCTGTCATGGGTATGAAATTGGCTAACAGATGAACTGTTTCTTAGTATCCAGCTTGACACCACTTGGAAGGAGATGGTGGTAGTGGTGGAAGTGTATCTACAGTCTTTTATTCCCATAGTCCTAACACCTAGGCCCAGATATCTTATCATTCCATTTATCTGACTATTTGAATCTTACCTTTTTGCCTCTAAAAGTTGTTTATTTGTTTTTGTTTTGTTTTTTAGGTACTAAACCCAAGGGCACTTTACCATTGAGCCACATTCCCAGCCATTGTTTATTTTTTGTTGTTTTTATTTTGAGACAAAGTCTTACTAAGTTGCTGAGTCTGGCCTCAAACTTGTGATCCTCCTGCCTCAGCCTCCTGGAATTGCTGGAATTATAGATATGCACCCCTGCACCTGGCTCAAATATTCTTTTTCTGATTCTTAAGGAATAAGACTTTATTAACAAAACATAAGAACTGCACTTCTAAGTATATGTCAACAGAAATGCATACCTAAATATGTTCACCAAAAGGCATACACTAAAAATGCTATGTCACCTATTAGTATATGCCAGCTACTCATAATAGCCACCAAAAGTAGAATAGATCAGTGGATCCGGGTGTCATACAGGGGCTAGGACCTGGCAACAAGAATAATCAAACCATTGCCACATACAACAAATCTCACAAACATAGTGTCAAGAGTGAAAACCAAAAACAGACAACAAAACATATAGTTTGATTCCATTCATCTGAAATTTTAAAACTGGTCCAATGGATTGATGGTGTTAGGAGTCTAGAGAGTGGCCTCTTCAGGTAGGGAAGCAACTGAGGAGGTGCAAGGGGGTTTCTGGGGATCCAGGAATGTTCTTTCTTTCTTTCTTTCTTTCTTTCTTTTTTTGGCTGGGAGTGAACTCAGGGGCACTTGACCACTGAGCCACATCCCCAGCCCTATTTTTTTTGTATTTTATTTAGAGACAGGGTCTCACTGAGTTGCTTAGCGCTTCACTTTTGCTGAAGCTGGCTTTGAACTCGTGATCCTCCTGCCTCAGCCTCCCAAGCCTCTGGGATTACAGGCATGTGCCACAGTGCCTGGCCCAAGTTTTATACTCAATCATTTAGTACTACCCAGCTCTGTTAAGTGAAAGGTGTTTTTTTTTGTTGTTGTTGTTTTTTTAATTCCTTGCTTTTATTTGTTGGATTTTACTCAATTTCATGTTGTCAAGATGAATTCAGGTTTGTTACATGTATCTCTAGGTCATTTATTTTAAGAGGCTTCCAGAGAGCATTCCACCCTATCAAGCTCCTGTGTTTCTTCACCCACCTTCCCGTTGGTGGACAGTTAGATTGTATCCACAGTAGGCCACTGTGCACCCTCTGCAGTGGGCTTCCTTCTGGGACCCCCCTTTGCCTCCTGCTCAGCAGGTTTCCCCTGCTCCTCCAAGTTCCTTCTTTCTGAAATCTTCTCCCCTCCCTATCTATTGTGCTTCCCAATCTTTCTGATTCTGCAAGACCCAGGTCTGTGCCTGGTGGAGGTAGGGGAACAATGCACAGGGTAGTCCTTTCCTTTTCCAGAAAGGACACTGTTCCCCATCATAAATGACAATTTAAACAAAGAATTATTTCACTAAGGGTGGATGTCTTAATGAAC